GCGCGGCGGGCGCAGGCCTGACATGGCGGCGGCGGGGGGGCGGCGCGGCCGCGGCGAGCTCGAGTGCGGTCTGAAGGGTCCCCTCCGGCGGGGGAGGCTCCGGCCCGGCTCCGTGGGTGTTGTCCCCGGGGTGGGGGCAGGGGGACGCCAGGCTTCCCCCTCTGGGCCCGGGGGCAGCAGCCTGGCCTAGGCCGCATCCCCGCGGTGGCAGTGGAGGAGAACAGTGAGGCGGCGGGTGCTGGGGCTTTGTGGGATTCTTGGTGAAACTCTCCCAAACGCTCTTTTCCCTCAGGCGAAGAAGACCCTAGCAGCCCAGCGGGAGAGAGCGGCACCTGGCTGTGTGCTGGGCCTTTGGCATGACCTGCAGCCTCCTGCGGCGCAGACACCGGGCCCGGCGCTCAGCCTGCAGCACCGAGGCCCGTGGGTGAGGGACCGCAGCACCACCTCCCCGAGTGAGGGCCACCTGCCCCGGGGCCCTGGGTCAAACCCCGCCAACCAGCCAGGGCTGTCCCCTCCAACACCCTGCTGTCAGGCTGAGCTGTGGCCCCTCGGCAGAACCAGACACCAGTGCAAACACCCCAGCCTGGGGACTGTCAGTTTTGTCTTTCCCAATGAGGAACATGTTGTCGTAACTCCTTTGGGTGTTAGAGCTGAATTAAAGAATAAGGCCAGGAATGGCTTGAAGGTTTGCTTACCTAAGTATGACTTAGCAAATGTAGCCTGACTGACCACAAACAGGGGCCTGCAACCCCTGCAGAGCTACGATAAGTAACAAGACAGGAAGGCTGGCATGTAGGCAACAATCATGAGGCCAGCACAATGTTATCTTATCTCTGACAAATGGAGAACTCCAAGCGAGAGGTAGCATATGGTAATGAATTACTGGAAACTAATGAATATGTTAAGACTCCTTGTATGAATATGTATGTATGTATGCATATATGTTGTCAAACCGACTCCGTCTGCCACGCACATTTGGAGGAGCGATCCCCTGTGCATCCAGCGCTGCAATAAAGGATACCTGCTTAATAGTCATCCCGGCTATTGAGTCCTGATTTCGTCTTTCACGGCATCAGAGCAACCCAACTTTTATGCCAAGAGCATGTCGAGGGGCACATCTTTTCTGCCTGCCTGGCTGGCGGTTTGGATGCCAGTTAGGGGCCAGTGTTTCGCTGCAGAAGGTTTGGTGTTCGGCGGGTGGCGAGGGTTTGTCAGCAGGCTCCTTTGCAGGGCTCAGGAACAGGAGACGTTTCCTTCCCCAGACGTGGGACAGGGGTGGGAGGGTGGGATGTGCAGGTGTGTCGTTACTTCCCTTCCCCTTTGGGATGGGAATTCTTCCCGAGAGTGTGTTGTCTCCCCTGGGGTACTCCACATTTTTTAAATTAATGTTTTTAGGAAGGAATAATACACCTTTTGTACATTCGCACATTAGATTGTGTCAAGTAGTCCCACCCATGAAAACTGCTTTTGTGGGGCATGGCATTTTGGGAATGTGTAGTTTGGACCATGAAAAGGGTGCAGCCTCTCATACTAATTTTTGGTGATGTTAATTTTTCCTGTGTCTGATAACTGAGGCTGGAGAAAATAATTTGATTTTGCAGTATCTGTTGAGTAATCATAAGGTCATTGCCATACTTCTGTTTAATTTCAAATATCTCACTGACAAGGATGAGGATACTGGCGGAATACAGGCTTCTTAAATGTTGAGGTCAGAACAGCTGTAAATAAAGAGGTGCTGGCTATGGCTGTACTCACAGACTGCCAGGTAGAAGTGATGTCCAGAGAGGTCCATCATCAAGCACCAGAACCTTTTCCTCTGCATCGTGAGTATTGACAGTCAACATACTTTTCATCGTTTTTATAGAAGGAAACATTAATTCCTTAATAACATAAATGAAATATCTTAAACCGTGTTCAGTATTTGCTTTTCCAGCTCAGCTTTAAATGATTTTTGTGTGATTCTGCTGATGGTTTTGCGAAATCCCCTGTGCCCTGCCAGACTAAGGGGAGCTGAAACAGAAACACTGACAAGAGCTTTGTGAACCCAGTGAAACTGTGAATGACCCAGTTTGGGGTTATTTTTTGCATTTCAGGGTGCCAAGCCTTTAGCTCTTTCCTTGACGGTCGATACCTCTGTCCTCACGTTAGACTTCAGCGACAGCTGGCTGCAGGAAGAAGGGGCAGCTGCAGTTGCAGAGATGCTGAAAGAAAAGTGCTACATTTCATGTTTGTATTTTCTCATCTGCCGTTATCTAGTGGATGCATTGCTGCGGAGGAGGACATTGGGCCGACTTCTTTGTGGATTCAACCAGTCCTGCTGTTGTAGTGACTTTGTGTGTGAACAGGCTACCAGAACTGGGGTGGTGTTTGAATGGTGAGTGTTTAAAACCGTGCTGTTTTGACATGTTTCTCCACCCATTTTAATAGCATTTACTTTTGTGAAGTTAGGCTGCCACTAGCCAGAGTTAGCTCGGTCATGTTATTGCCGTGAAGCTGCTGGAAAGCCAGGAGAAAGAGTGAGTTTCTGCTTTAATTGTGGATTGGAAACATTCACCAGAAACGTAGACTATTCAGAGGATGTGGTTAATAATGGTTAAGGGTTTGTAAGCTGAATTTGCATGAGTAGCATCTAAGAAAACAGGGCATCGGAGTGGAAGAGGAGCCCATCTCAAGTGAACCTGCAAGGCTCTGTTCTAGCAGCAGCACACGCCTGATCTTCCCTGGGACATTTCATGTGTCTGACACCTCTGTGGCATTAGGCTGCAGGTACTGCGGGTACAGAGAGCAGATGCAGAGCAGCTGCCTGAATTTCAGTCTCAGTCAGGCAGTGTTGTGTCTAGAGATCATGGGTTTAGTCCCTGATTTTCCAGGGACGCTCCCACCTTTCATAATTTGAGTAGCAGATCCTGGTTATACGTGGACAGGGTGTCTGGGCTGTGGGTTACACGCGGCAGGGTCCTGCACTCTGGCAGAGTCAGGGGGCAGTGAAGGCAGTTTGGTGGGATACAGCTGGTTGTGCAGCATGTACCCCAAAGGACTAACAACCCCTGCCAAACCTGAGGGTGCTACGTGCCGAGACAGCCCAGGGGTTCCTGTCCTCTGCTTCTGTGTGACGAGCGCCAAGTAGAGACCCAGGAGAGGTCTGCCTGGAGCCCCTCTCACAGCTCTGGGGCACATTTTCCAGCACTTGCATTAACCTCCCATTTCAGTGTCTGAATCCGCAGGTCCCTGCCAGGAAACAACCAGAATTTTGCTGTAAGTCGGGCTCGTTGCTGCACTGCAGGATGTATTTTATCCAGAAAGAACAGGGTCAGATTAGACAGCTGAGAACACAACTCCTATAACGAAGGGAACCCATAGGCTTTGTCAGGAAGTCATCATGGATGAAGGGGACAGGTTCAGTGCTGTGAAACCCCTGTTAACATGGGATTTCCTTATTTTTGTTCTCTAGTGGTTTGGATTCAGTATCAGAGGTTTAGGGTTCTGTTACTTCTGTGCTAGGAAAATCCATTCTGGATGTAGGTGGGCAGATGTGGGGAGTGAGGAATTGTGGAGACGCGCTGCTGAGCGAGAGCTCGGCAGGTGTTCTTGGAGTGATGGGAAGGAAGCCTTGAGAACAGTAAAACAATGTCCTTATATGATAATGTGAAATAGGTAGTAAGCTAGCAAATAGATAACAATAACAAAACAAATAATAATGACTAATTAGCCTAGGCACACGAACACTTATTTGTAGCCATTTGTATTGCTCGTAACGGCGTGTGGACAGGCCCCCACAACCTATTTGTGTAGAGAGCACAGCACATGATCAACAGAGAGAAACTATATATGCTGTAAAAATAAAACATTAAACATCTTCACTTCACCACCTGGCGGAGTCCATGCCCTTTGTTCCTACAGGCAGGGAAGTGAATGCTTTCCTATTTGGGTCTCAGTGTCTTCGCATCCATTCCAGTGTTACATTTAGCTTTGCTGTCTCTCCCTGCCTGCGCGTGCGTTTTCCAGCCATGATGAGGAACCAAGAAACCCTGTATGACTTAGTAGTCATACATACTAGTGTAGGTTTTGCCTGGAGTGGGAAACACAGTTGTACATGGAGCACTTTTGTCTCATGTCCTATATTCATGTGGCAAAATGTGAATGAGCCTATCTTGGGGACAGGTTGCGAATTCAAAAATTAAGTTCTGTTCCTACTAAAATGCCATATTCGAGTTCATCATTCTTATTTTCCAAGTCTGGCAGTACTTCTGCCATTGTGGTGTAGAGGTGAGGTGCTGGTACAATAAGATTTAATGATCTGATAATGTTTTTTCTTTCCCCAGCTGTTGATTTATCCGATAACAAGTTAGGTGTTGAAGGACCTAGGACCTTTTCTGCAGTGCTTCTAGAAAATACTACAATTGTGTCTCTCCGGCTTTCAGGAGATGAATTTGATGATCACACAGCAAAATATTTAGCAGATGCCATGACAGCAAACAGCAAAGTGGGAATTCTGGATCTGAGTTACAACATGTTTGGTGACAAAGCAGGTAAAATGCTGTCTCTGCTTCTTGCACAGTGAGGGGTGCTGCAGCAATTAGCAATGCAGCTTAATGAGTTGCTTGTCTGCCTCAGACCTTAGGAGAGCAGGGTTAGTTAATATTTTCAGTTTCCCAAAAAGTATTTTTGGCTCTTTGTAGGCAAAACCGGTGTCATCATTTGTTCATTCAGCTTCATTCATCATTCATTTGGCTTCGTTCTCTGTCTTCTAGCATTGCAGGCTTTGTGTCTTCTGTTTCTTTTCCTTGTTCTTCCTACTTCCCAAGTTCTGATGATCCTCCTTTCACTGAACTATCATTTCCTTTTTTTTCTTGATTATTATTTCAGCTTTCACAGGTGTGTAAAATGCTTAACAAGAGCAGAAAAACCCCAGCAGAATGGAGTTTGCCAGCAGTTCAGTCTAGCTCCCTGTCACCGAGAGGTGATTGCAGGTACCAAGGGGAGAATGTGATAATAGAATGAGCAGGGGGTTCTGCTTCCACTTTACTTTGCCACCCTTGACAACTTGTGGTTTGGAGACTTCCTTTGCTCATGACTTTGGCTCTGTCATTTCCATGTCCTTGTTGGTCTTGACCTTATTAATGTGCATTTTTTTTCTTTGATTCTTGATTTTTAAGGATGCTGCTATTTAATTGTTACATCCTTGCTTTCGCACTGCTCCTGTGATGCCGTGTGATGTGATGAAACCTGTTTATTGCTCTCTGGGCCTTAGTCCATACTGGTTTCCCCAGGCACACTTATGCTGGGCTGAACTCCCCTGTCCTTTCCTCCTGACTGTCCACATCTGCAGAACACTCTTCATGGTGTAATTGCTAATCCCTGATTTTTCAGCCTTTATGCTCATCTCCTTTTTGCACCTTATTGGCACATACGTCATCTTCCCCATCTATGGCTGGCTTGACCAACCCCAGACATGGGTTCTGCTACTATCTCCAGGCTGAAGATTCACAAATCTCCTCCCTCCTCCTGGTCTAACCCTACAACTGTGCTCCAAATCCCTCTACTTCCAACGCTGTTGGTGACGGGTACACACTCAAAAAGGGAGATACCAACTTTTTCCTCTCCCATGCCGCATCCCATGCTGTCTGTCAGATCCACAGTCTCCCCTGGTCATGTCTTTCATGAAAAATCCACTATCTTCTCTCCGTCTGCTGCCTTACAACCCTTAATCATCACACATCACATCTCATCTGCTATAGCCTCCTTCATGTCTTCCATGGGCTTCTCTGGCTCCCAGGAGAGGCAACAAGCATAATCATCTTTTTTGGCCACTGGGAACACACCAGCCATTCGCTTGGTTCCTTCCCAGATCTGTTCTGCTTTTTGTCTTGTTTTTACTTTTGAAGGCTGCAGTGGCTGCTTCTCTCCCCACCCCTGTCCTGCTCACCTCCTGATGCCTTTGCAGTCAGACAGCTCTCCCAGTCTTCTGCTCTTCAAGCATGGCAATGGCTTCCTTTTCTCCTATGCTGGTTGACAACCTCATTTCTCCTCTGCCCTGTTGGAAACTTGTAAAACACTCGGTGAGGAGACCTATTCAGATTTTCTGATGGTGCAGGAGCTCTGGGAAGGACTGAAGAGAGTGGACCTGGCTTCTGTGCCAGCAGCACAGCCCAGCAGGCTCCAGTTGGCTGGAGGCCGGCGCTGGGGAGGGGTGAGGGACTGCGAGAAGGTACCTGATTGCCTAGTGTCAGCTTCCAGACTCCCATCAGGCTGGAATGAGCCTGTGTGACTGGATCTCCACGCATGAGCAGCAGACTCTGGCTTTGTGATACAGTGATTGGGTTTTCTCTTCCTCTTTGCTGTGTTTGCAACCTGTGGTCAGAGAACACAGATGCTTTTACTGTACACAGCTGCTGGTAAATGCCGTATCAAAGAAAATAATATGTTGTAACCTGCCTAGAGGTAATGCAGAGGTAATAGAGTTGCTAACTCGAGCTTCCTTTTAACTTTTAAACTTAATCCTTTTAACTCTTAAACTGTTTGGCTTCCTGTATTTTTTTCTTAGGTGAAATTCTTGGAATGGCAGTAGCAGAAGATATTGGATTCAAGGAACTTAAAATCAGCTGGAACCATTTCCATAGCCAAGGGGAAGCTGCCTTGGCCAAAGGCATGGGGGTAGGAAATGTTTTCACACCTGTTTTTAAATTCTGAGAACTCATGTGAAGCTTTATCTGTTTAAACGAGCATGAGTGCCATGATGTACTGTTTGCCTTGTGCCCTTGCTTGTCCAGCTGGGATCATATAGATCTTGGAACTAAGACAGTAAAATCATCCATTGTCTATTGAGGTATTCCATATGTCTTTATTTCTCTATTTCTAGTTCTTTCCATTTTTGGAGTCAAAATTACTATAATGAATGTTCTGAATTGTTTCATTTCCCTTCTGATTCATAAATCAATACAGAAATTGTTTTGTATTCCATATACAGTTATAACTGTACTAAAAGAAAATAGTTTCTCATTGAAACAAGAAACACTTCTTCCAGGCTGTTTAGGCCTCATAGGCTGAAGGGAGCTACTAAAGTAATTTAATTTCACCACTTGTACAATGCAAATTGCACGTACTGTCCTAGCGTTAGTGCAGCAAGTCCCAGCTGCACTTTGGAGAGTAGCAAGGACAGCAGTCCGTAGAAAGGGTATTTCTCCAAGGTTGTATCAACTGACAGGGAGATTTTCAGTTGTGTGTTTATGTCATGTCTCAGGCAAACATATTCCTCAAATGCTGGGTGTTTCCTACAGCGGCTTTGGCGACGGTGGAGCAGCTGCCTTGGGGGAGGCTCCTAAGGCCAACAATGTGCTGGAAGAGCGCAGTGTCAGGTGAGTCGCGCTCGGGTCTCGCTGCACGTTTCTCCCGTTTTGCAGCAGTGGGCAAAGTCCACGGCAGCCATTCAGGTCTCCTGCCTGCAGAGAGCAGTGAATCCCAAATCCCAGTTCTTCCCCTTAAACTTGGGGTCACTGCCGAGGGGCTGTGGGATGTGTTAGCAGACATGGGGGAAATGCATTTGGGGAATGGCACAAGGCCCGTTAGGGGATGTGTAGGGGAGGAACCAGGGCGAGGGAAGGGATCCAGGTCCTTTGGGGTAGTAACAAGTAACAAGTAGTGGGAAAAGAGAGGGATGAGGTGTGAAGGTTGATTGTTTCAGGCTGTGGTGATCTGCATGGCCAGCTGTGTGCGTGTTGCACACATTGTGCCTGTGCCTATTGTCAGCCTCACTTACTGGGACATGGAGCTGTGTCAGCCTCACCTCTGTCTGCCTGTGGGATTTGGCAACTCCTCACTGCTTCTAGCCTCCCAAATACAATTGTTTAGTTATAATCATGGAATCGTTATTGTTGGAAGGGTCCATTAAGATCACCCAGTCCAACCATCAAACTGACCCTGCCCAAACCACCACCCATGTCCCTCAGCACCACGTCTGCCCAGCTTTTAAATCCCTCCAGGGATGGTGACTCCACCCCTTCCCTGGGCAGCCTGTTCCTAGGTTTGACAACCCTTTCTGTGAAGATATCCATTCTAAATCCACCCTGGTGCAACTTGAGGCCCTTTCCCCTTGTTCCTTGGGAGAAGAGGCTGACCGCTCTTTGTAACACCGTCCTCTAAGGGAGTTGGTAGAGGTAGCTGCCCTAAATTCCCTCTGGACATAACATGCTTTCTTGAAGCAGGAGGCTGCGTATCCTTTGCCTGAGCAGTGCGGCTGTGGAGCGCCTGCAGCGCAGTGTCTGAAGCAGGCCTTTTATCTGCTTTTAGAAACAACCGTGTTTCAGTGGAAGGAGCTCTGCACATTGGAGCTGGCCTGAAAGAAAACAAGGCTCTGAAAAGACTGAACGTGAGTAACTTTCCTAGGAAGGTATTGGAGCCTCTTATGCATATTTAAATATTGCTGATGCATGTATGTCCTCGATTGGAACCCCTTAGAACAAATCCACCGCAAAATCAGGGAGCTGCTTGGCCCAGCTCTTCCCATGTCCCCCTGGTTGCAGCGTGCTCTCGTTAAGACAGAGGACTTGGTGAACAGAGATCTCTGTGAGCCTGCCGCTGGGTGAGCTGCGGCCTGTCCTGCGGTGTCTCGCAGCACGGGGGTAGCACCCTGTTTCTGCAGCAGCGGTGTCCAGCCCAGCACGGTGGGTGGCACTGGGGTGGCTGCTGGGGGGCCCAGGATCCATTTTACTGGCACTTGGAGTAAATCCCGCTGGTGTCTCACCCACTGGGCACCACTGCTACTGTCAAGGATCACACCAAAAATCCCACGTCACACATCCTCCTGCTCGTTCTTTTCTGACTGCAGGTGACCAGGAATCCCATGCAGAGCAAAGGCTGCTGTGGGGTCCTCAAAGCTCTACAGGCAAATTCTGGTCCTGGTGTAGAGGTCCTGGACCTGCCAGTAAGTGTTACCCTGGAAAGAAAAGGGAAAGAGGTTGTAAAGAGGTGCGAGTTGGTCTCATCTCCGAAGGAACAGGCAATAGCACAAGATGAAACAGCCTCAAGTTGCACTCACACACCATGTACCGAAGATGTTGGGTTAGAATGTCTTTTTCTTCAAAACCTAGAGTTTTTGCAAGAAGAGCAACAAGCTTTGAGATTTTGATCCTTGAGTGTCATAAATTGGGAATGTTACATTTAGAAATCATTACATGAGATTCTATAAAACAAGCATCAATTTGGAACTGCGTGTTGTTTTAATCATAGAATCATAGACTCACAGAAGGGTTTGGGTTGGAAGAGACCTTAAAGACCATCCAGTGCCACCCCCTGCCCTGGGCCGCCACACCAGGTTGCTCCACACTTGCCACCACACCAGGTTCCTCCAAGCCCCCTCCAACCTGGCCTTGAACCCCTCCAGGGATGGGGCAGCCACAGCTTCTCTGGGCAACCTGGGCCAGGCTCTCACCACCCTCACACCAAACAAGTTCTTCCCCACATCTCAGCTCCATCTCCCCTCATTCAGTGTCAAACCCTTCCCCCTCGTCCTAGGGCTCCACTCCCTGATCGAGTCCCTCCCCAGGGAGCCCCTTTAGGGACTGGAAGGGGCTCTAAGGTCTCCCCAGAGCCTTCTCTTCTCCAGGCTGAAGCCCCCAACTCTCTCAGCTTGTCCTCCCAGCAGAGGGGCTCCAGCCCTCCCAGCATCTCCGTGGCCTCCTCTAACCGTGCTCCAACAGCTCCATGTCCTTCTGCTGTTGGTGGCCCCAGAGCTGGAGGCAGCACTGGGGTGGGTGGTCTCCCCAGAGCGGAGCAGAGGGGCAGAATCCTCCCCTCACCGTGCTGGCCACGCTGCTGGGGATGCAGCCCAGGGTGCAGGGAGTTTCGGGGCTCCAGCACATGTGTCTGGTTCATGCTGAGCTTCTCACCCACCTGTGTGGAGTTGTGCTCCCACACGCAGAGGTGCCTTAGCTCATGTCTCCACAAAGATTGGGTCCCACAGTGCTCGGTGCTGCCCTAAAGTGTTTCAGTCTGGCCAGGGAAGGCTGGGCAGGTGGGACCATGAGGAACCAGCAATCCTGGCTTCGAAGGAGAAGCAGCTCACTGCAGCCCATTCCCCACAGCGTCTGATGGACGGTGTGTAACCGCCGAGACAAAGTTATCAGTGCCCTGAGGAAGCGTTTCCAGGCTCTTGGCTAAATCTCGCTCCAGACAGTTCAAGTCCATTTCTTCTTGCCTTGTCCCCTGCACACATGGTGAAGGCTTAGCTTCCTTTTTTGGTTGTGTGATTGGAGAGTGGCCTGTCTGCTGTTGGAAAGAAGGCGCTGCTGCTGAGATGGGACCGTGTCCTTCACACATAGGCTTATTAAAACATGTCTGCACTGCCTGGTGAAGCAGTGGAGAGCCGGACGCAGCCTGGTTGCTGGGGCTGCTGAGAGGCAAAATGCTTCTGAAGGATGAGCACAGAGGCTTCTGTGATGCTTTGGATACCCCTGTGCTGCTGGCCTGGCCACCAGCATGTCAAGGAGGGATGAGGGGACAATAGGACCCGTGATTTGTGTCATCTTTTAACGCCTCACCCTTCTCCAGCTGGTGGAAGGAGCAGGTGCAGCATTGCTGGCCTCTGGGGGACGAAGTACGGTGCTTACCTCATCCTTGGGCTGCCTGTGCCGGGGGAGGGAGGATGGCAGGGATAATGAGGGAGGATGGCAGGGATAACGAGGGGATTACTTACAGCCAGCCTGAACTGAGCCCTGCAGCTCCTCTCTGCAGCTTTCAGAGCCGGGGGTTGGGGAGGGATAATTTAGAAACAAGGAGGCTGGGCAGAGATTTAATTAGGACATTGAGCTGCTCTCTCTGGGTGCCAGCCCCCACCCTCTCCTGTCGCTCCCCTTCTCCTCCTCCGGGCACAGACAGGGCTCACCTCTGCGGCTGCGTCAGTCCCGGCCTGTTCCAGCACAGCGGCTGCCATCTCCGGCTCTGGAGCTGCCCTGGGATGCCCCTGCGACTCCCGTCCCCAGGGCGGTCCCTGCAGGAGCTCTCCCAGCGCTGGGGCACCCAGCCTGGTTCCTGAGACCTCTGAGATCACCCTCAGCTCAGCCCCCCGTGCTCGCGGTACTCCCCCTCCCCAGGCTGAGCTTTGGGGCTGGGGGGACACAGCCCCGTTCAGTGTCTCTGCCAATGAAACCATATGGGCAGCATCCCCAGCATCCATCTGCTCCCTAGTATAAATCCCATGTTATTCCCCCTCGGAATTTCTGTTTCTTCCTTGTACCTGCTTTGTGGGAAACTCTCCACAAACCAGTGGTAGCTCCTCTCCCAGTTCCTCCCAGTCTGGCAGCCTCACTGCTGGGACCCTGCCGTCCCCTGGCCCGCTCCCAGGCTGTGGGTGGGGGATTGTTGCCCGCGATGGCATCAGCCCTCTCAGCCCCGTGGGAGCACGTGTGCCGGAGCCACTCGTGTCCCGTGGCCCCTAGAGCCCTCCCAGGCTCTGGCCGTCACACCGCTGACCTACATACTGCGCCGATGCATTTTAATTAGATTGATTTCCTCGCGCTCCAGCTGGGCTGATCAGACCATTTCCATGAGTCCTAGAAAATACGATTTATTTATATTAAAAAAAAAATAAAAATAATAATTTGAGGAAAGATACTCCCACAGCAAAGGGGTGCAATAGCAGCCACAGAGAAGCTGCAAGCTGGGAAGTGGGGGGGGCTCTGTGAGCTGCACACGGGGGTGGGATTTGCTTTTAAACCCCCCTGGTTGGCGTTGGGGGGACAGATGGGGAGCTGCTGGCTTTTCCCTGCAGTGACAGGCTACCGTCCTAAGGTGCCACTGACAGTGCTCGGCTTGGATTTTATTTTTTTTTTCCTGCGAATACAATTTTCCGGAAGAGCCTGTTGTGGGAGGGCTCTCTCGGGGGTGACGGTTGCTGCCAGACCCTCCTTTTATTGTGTGCTGTAACGGGCAGACGATTTAAAATCCATTAACAGCCATTCTGCGCCTGCGCAGGGCGTGTTACTGCAACAGGATGGCGTATGGCACAGATGAACCGACCAATTTTGTAATCCTATTTAGAAAAAAAACCCCACAAATGTGCTTGAGAGGGCATGCTGGCCTCCCAGGCTGCCATTAATTACTTTCCAATCCTTTAATACCCTGCCAGCCGCGTCCCCGTCGCTCCCTGCCTCTCCCTGCCCGGTGCTGGGGGTACCCCCATCCATCCTTGCTTTCTATGCCGCGGCCCAGCAGTAACTTCTCTGCATTTTTTTACAAATGAATGTCTTTAAATAGATTATATATCAATGGTTACAGGGCTTACTCGACAACTCTTAGGTCTTTGCCAGTTTAAAAAGCCACCCGCGAGCCCCCGCTGGGTGAGCCCGGCCCCGGTGAGTGCTGAGCGTGTTTTGTAATGTGGCTTCTATGGGCTTTCCTCCAGGAGAGATCAGAAGAGCCTGTGAACCTCAGCCTGGCCTACTCTGGACTTTTACGGCTCTTCCCCAGCCCTGCACAGGGCTCTCTTGCTCCCAATACATCGCTTTGGTTCTTTCTACTCACCTTTTTCCTGCCGACAGTGAATTTAACGCAGAGTTTAAATACAAGCTGACAATTGATAAGGAGAGTCAAGCCCGGCTGCCCCCCCCCACACCTGCTGGATAGTATTTTAGTAAAGAAATGCCTTTGTTATCACGGGAAGGGATAGCAGCAGCAAGGATGGGGCTTATCTCAAGTGACTCACACTATAATTGCCATCATTTGCTCTGGGTCACAGGTTCTCCCCTCTGTTCAGCTTCTAACCCTTGGCAGCAGCTGTTACGGGCCTGGAGCATCTCTCTCAGGAGGAGAGGCTGAGGGACTTGGGTCTTTTTAGTCTGGAGAAAAGAAGACTGAGGGGGAATCTCATCAACGCTTATAAATACTTGAGGGTGTCAGGAGGATGGGGCTGGTCTTTTTTCAGTGGTGCCCAGGGACAGGACAAGAGGAAATGAGCACAAACTTGAATATAAGAGGTTCCACCTAAACAATGAGGAGGAACTTCTTTCCTGTGAGGGTGGCAGAGCCCTGGCAGAGGCTGCCCAGGGAGGTGGTGGAGCCTCCTTCTCTGGAGACATTCAAACCCTGCCTGGACACATTCCTGTGCAACCTGCTCTGGGTGGACCTGCTTTGGCAGGGGGTTGGGGGAGATGATCTCCAGAGGTCCCTTCCAACCCCATGTGATTCTGTGACCCCATCGCAGTGCTGCTCACTGTCCCTCTCCCTTTCCTGAGGGTTTGGGGGGGCTTCCCTGAGCATTGGGGAAGGGGGGGGAGCATCTTCCCCACGTGGGCTCTTGTGGGGGGACACACACAGCACAGACGACCAGAGCCATGACAGAACCAGTATTTATGCGGGTGACCGAGTCAGCCTGTTGCTCACAAGCCACTACACAGAGGTGCCAAGCAGGGCCACAGCACAGCAGGGATGTGCTGCTCCGGCGGCAGCAGCAGCGGAGCGCGGGGGCACAGAGCAGCGCTGGCAGACAGCGGGGTCACCAGGGGCCGGCACAACCTGCAGAGACCCTGTGGCTCCTCTGGGACCCCCAGGGACTGGCCAGCCAGGAGCTCTGGGACTAGTTTGCCTGCGGTCCCCAGCTCCTGGCAGGATGCAGATGATGCTGCAGGGAGCAGGGTGGCCACGCTGCAAGGCCTGGCAGTTGGGCAACCTCGTGCTCGATGGTTCTTCCACGTATTTCTTCCAAAACGCACTAAACCCCCTCCTTCCCTTCCACTTTAGGCTGCCCATGGGCAAACCAGCCAGGAGTGGCCACATCAGGGCCCCCCCAGGACACCACAGCAGCCAGGGTGAGTCCCAGAGCGCGGGGATGCTCATCAGGGAGGGGGCAACAGTGAAAAGCACCCACGGCGCCCATCCCGAGCCACTGAGAGCCCAGGAGGGGCACCAGGGGGGCTGAGCCCCCCATGGCGGGGTGGGGGCAGCGTGGTCTGTGCTGTGGGGTGCAGGGGAAGCGGGGGGCTAGCTCTGGGTAGCCCAGCCCCAGGGATGCTGTTGGGGACCTCCAAGGAGAAGACAACAAATCTGGGGTCCTGAGCACTCACACTCAGCATGGGGCTGGGGCAGAACCATAGCAGGACCTTCCAGCTGTGCAGGTGGGCTTCTGCCATGCCAGCCCACACCGGCTTCCTCTGCTCCCTGCCCAGCCACTCACTCTGGCCACATCCTTCCTCCACCCCATGTCCCCAGCTGCTCCTCAGCCCCACCTCAGTCCCAGCCTTTTAGGAGTGTGGCGCTGGGGACAGGGACGGCAGCGATGCTGATGGGGAAATGCATTTGTCCCCTGCCTCCTTCTGCAGGTGGGCTGCAGCCAGGACGAGACCCAGGAAGGGCAGCACAATCCTGGTCCCTAGGGGCCCAGGAGGGACCAGTCCCAGTCCCCAGGGACCCTCTGCACCCCTCTGCGCCCCCAGCAGAAAGCAGCTGTGCCGCAGAGCCCCCAGGTGTGCTCAGGGGGAGGCAGCGAGGATGTGGCTCCTCCTGAGCAGGGCAGGCCCTGGGCTGAGACCCAGTTCCTGAGTGCTGGTGATAGGGAGGGAGGGAGCCAGTGCCTTCCCCCCCTGCCCCCCGCCCTCCCCCCGGCTCTGGGGGAGCTGGTGGGGATGGGCGAGCATCCTCGGCATCTCCAGATACAGCCACAAACCCAGGGCAGCCCCGGTGGCTCCGCTGCCAAAGGGACTGGGAGGAGGAGAGGGGGGTCTCTGGTCTTGCCGTGGGGAGGGGGTCAGATGCTGCCACAGCCAGGTGCCCCCATCCCCCGGGATGTCATCTCTTGCCATCTTCGGTGTCGGTGTCCGGCAGCCCGGCGGTGGGCTGGGAGCTGGGCTGGACGGCCTGCACCCTCTCCTCCAGGCTGCCGCTGGGAAACACCACGTAGCGGGCACTGACCCGCTGGGGCCGGGGCTCCCGCAGGTTCTCCTTGCTGTGCCAGATGCCGTAGCCGAAGTACACGAGCAGACCTGCAGCGGGGACAGCGAGAGCGGCCGTTGGAGGCTGACAGGGATGTGGTGGCATCCCGGCAGAGCAGCACGAGCCACTGCACCAGGGGAAGGGGCTTAAACGAGCTGCTTGTGGGTGGAAAAGGATCCTGCAGTGTGTTAAGAGCAAACAGTTCCTGGGGAGGGGGAACCCCACTCTGGGAAGGTCTCTTCAAGCCCCACGGAGCTGCCTCGGGAGCAGGGGGTGGTTCTGTTCCAGGGCTTGAAGGAGGATGCAAACCTCAACAGAAACAAACCATAATACTCTGGGAATCAGAGCAGGTCAGGGAGACACTGGGAGACCTCGGCTTGTTTCTCCAAAGGGGAATGGGAGGTGGAAAGGGGCACGATGTCCTTTATAAACCCAGCACTGGGGGAAAATAGCTGCCGGAGCTGCCAGCCGGTACAGAAACAGGTCCAACTCCCCTCTCCCCCGAAGCAGCCATCGCCTTCCCACGGCACACGTCAGCACTCACCCAAGAGCAGCCAGACGGCGAAGCGGAGCCACGTCATGTAGCTGAGCTTCAGCATCAGGTAGATATTGAGGACGATACTCAGCGCCGGGGAGAGCGGTACCAGGGGAATCTGCAGGAGAAACAGAGCCAGAGGGTTGTGAGACCACCCTTAAAACCACAGAGACAAAAGCCAGCGCTGGTAAACCTGGGGAACAAAGTGATTTTAACCCTGGGCTTTCTGAAAAGGACATTTTTTTGAGGGGGGGGGAGGAGGGCAGCCAAAAGGAACAATGGCCAGGAGCTGCTCTCCAGGCTGCTCACTGGGCTGGAGGCGGGGGCACAGGCTCCGGGAACAGCCCAGAGGCACCATCACAAGGACCAAACAAGCCCTCGGTGCAACCCAGAGCCAATGTGGTCCTCACTGGAGAAGCCAGGGGGCAGGGGACAGGGCAGGGAGGTGGTGCTGGCACTGGTGTTACCATCCATGCCGCTGCACCACACTGGGGCCCAGACGGGCTAGAAACTGGAGAGGAGGGGGCATGAGAGGCACAAAAGTGATTTGGAGGCTGAATAAAAGAGCTCCACTGTGTTACTCGAGGGCAGACCAAAGGCAGGAGGTGGGACGGGCAGGAGGGGAGCAGGGGGCTGTGGGGATGTGGAGGAGGCAGCAGAGGGTGGGCAGGAGCAATCCTGCAGGATGGACATCGAGCTGCTGGGGATGTCCCCTCCCTGGCACCGGTGACTGTGCAGAGAGAGTGACACCAGCACCTCCCCGCTCCCAGTGCTTGATGACACCCTCTCCCTCCTCCTCCCACCGCAGCTGCAGTGCTGTCACCACACCAGGGTGACAGGGCCTCCCATGGGTCCACCAGAGCTGCCCCCACCCCACCGAGCTCAGCAGAGGGATGAATCCTGCCTGGGCCCCCATGTACCTGGAAGGTCTGGGTGTTGCGCTGCTGCTCGTGTGCCCAGATGAGGAGGAGGCTGAGCAGGAAGCCCAGGCTGAAGAGGACCAGCAGCAGGGAGTAGCTCCAGGTGGGCAGGTGAAGGTGGGTGTTGCCAAACACCAAGATGGAGCAGAGGCAAATGGCAGACACCATCAGGGTCACCACAGCTACTGTGACCACCTCGCCTGGGTAGAAGTCGCTGAGGAACTCCAGGTAGGGCTCGAAAGCTGCTTTCAGCTGCCCCGGCTCCCGCTGCTCTTTGCTCTTGTCCCTGTCCACCAGCTGGAGCTTGTCAGAGAAGGACTCGTACTCCTTCAGCTCGCCAGTGGATGGACCCTCGCGGGGCTCAGGGCTGGGCCGGCCACCAGCCACTGGTGGAGGGGCATCCACCTTCTGCTGCTGGAAGCGCAGGACAATGATGCTCGCAGCCACAAAAGTGTAGGCCAGCAGTGTGCCGATGGACAGGAACTGCACCAGGGCCTCCAAGTCAAAGACGAGGGCCAACAGGGCCATGAGCAGCCCGAAGACGACGATGCCGACAACGGGCACCTGCGTGCGGGGATGTACTTGGGAGAAGACCTGGAAGAAGAGTCCGTCCTCGGCCATGGCATAGACGATGCGTGGCAGGGAGAAGAGGTTGCTCAGCAGGACCGTGTTCATTGCTGAGGAATGGGCAGAAGAAGGAAGACCACGTCAGACCCACACTGCCCCGATTCCCAGCCCCCATCGCGAGCGGGGCGGGCAGCTCCCACCGCTGCTGCCTGTACTCACCACAGATGGAGCCAGCGGCCACCAGGAACCCTGCCCAGGCATAGCCCCTCCTGTAAAACGCATCTGCCAGTGCAGAGTCGGGGTCCAGCGTGTGCCAGGGCACCATCAGCGTCAGCACCACCGACACCAAGATGTAGGCCCCGGTGGCCAGCCCCAAAGAGAAAGCGATAGCCCTGGGGACAGCCCGCTGCGGGTTCCTGGCCTCTTCACTGGAGGCTGCGATGACATCGAAGCCCACGAAGGCATAGAAGCAGGTGGCCGTGCCGGCCATGATGCCTGACAGCCCATATGGGGCGAAGCCACCCTCCTGGGCACTCCAGTTCTTGGGCTGCGCAAGGACGAAGCCCATGATGAGAATGAAGAGTATGACACCCATGCTGATGGCTGAGAAGACATGGTTGAGCCATGAGGACACTTTTGCCCCGAAAGAGATGAAGGCAGTGGCTACCAGCAGGATGGCGGCTGCTAGAAAGTCGGGGTAACGGGCCAGGAATGGCACCTGCCAGGCACCCACATGGGTCTCAGTGAAGTTCTTTATCTTGTGGTTGAAGATGGAGTCCAGGTAGCCACTCCAGGCCCTGGCCACTGCGGCTCCCCCGATCATGTACTCCAGCAGCACGTTCCAGCCGATGAGGAAGGCCCAGATCTCACCCACAGACACGTAGGTGAACATGTAGGCAGAGCCTGTCTTGGGTACCCGGGCTCCAAACTCAGCATAGCAGAGAGCAGCCAGGAGTGAGGCAAAGCCAGCAATGATGAAGGAGACAATGACAGCAGGGCCAGCGATCTCCTTGGCCACAGTGCCTGTGAGGACATACAGCCCAGAGCCCACCATGCCCCCAATGCCCAGCAGCGTCAAGTCGATGGTCGAAAGGCACCTGTTGAAGGATGTCTCCATCATGTCATCCTCCAAGGTCTTCACACGGTTGAGCTTCTGGCAGAAGCGGGCCAGGTCGGTGGAGCGAGGCAGCCATCTCGCCATCCTGGAGGCAGCAGGCCCTGCCCTCTGGCAGGGTGAGGTGTCCACAGCAGCAAGCCCCTGCCCGGAGACCTAGCAGAGGAGCAGGAAGGTGTGAACATCCCCTCTGGCAGGGTGGTGGGAACAGGGTGCAAAAGCAACCAGGGCACATTCAAGGTGTCCCTCACGTCTCAGCCAGTGTGGGACTCACCACTGGAGTGTGTCTTCCTCCAGAGTGGTGGCACAGGACAGCCAGCTACCCCACACAGAGATCCATGCTTGCGTACCAGGTGGGAGGGAAACCACAGCACCCCCAGGGCAGCAACACCCAGGCTTTTCTTTTTAGGACAGAGCCCAAACCAGGCTGCTCTGGCCCTGCTGAAGGTTTCTTTCCTGCTTTCCCTCCACCTTATTCAACGTTTACCTGACCAGGTAAATGGCTTACCCTCCCGGGTGGGACAGGAACCCACCGAGGGGACACGCGGTGTCTCCTTGTTCCCAGCACCTCACTGCTTTCCCAGGGAAAGCCCAGGTGTGGGGCAGAGGTGTGCAGCAGGAAGTCCAGAGCAGCTCCATCGAGGACGTGGCCGTCCCCAGCCAGACCAGGAAACACGTCCAGCGCCTGGTGACCGAGCCCCAGCTGGCAGCTGCCACCAGGAGAGCGGGACGATGCAGCTCTGGGGACCTTCAGGTGCCGCTTCACGGCTTCTCCGTGGGGTGGTCTGTCATTTTGGAGATGCTCTCCCCTTTCAGCCACCCTCCTTCCCCTGCCAGGATACGCCCCCCCGCATCCCCAACCACCCCGCTCAGAGGGGCTGGTGCCACCTGATGCAGCCTGGCCCCTGGTCCCTCCGCCTCGCAGGTCAGAAGGTCCCGGCGAGGCCCCTGCGAGCTGACAGCATTGCGCTGGCCCTGGGGACACCAGTCCTGCTGGCACCGCCTGTGCCGGCCGGGCCCCCCCAGCACCCGCGTCCCCGTGGGCGGCGGGGCCGGCGGTCCGGGGGTGCCCACCCCCGCGCACCCGGCGGCTGCAGCCGGGCAGGACGCCGAGCCCGACGCCCGCCGGGCAATGCGCATCCCTCCG